GTAGGAAAAAAGATGAGGTAAGTTCTGTGGAAGTATTCGAATATGATATACAGTGGAGTCATAGAAATTTGAAGTCAGAAGTCGACTCCCGGTTTATAGACTTTCTTGCCGTATGAGTATACGTTTCCCAAGGTGCACCACGTGAAGGTAAGTCTATTGCACACCCCACAACACCTGTATATCGGACTTGGTCGATACTACTGTTTATGATCCAGTGCGATGTAAGTGGATCTTTTTATCTGCTGACAGCACTTCAGTCCAGCTAATTATTCTTGGAGGATATGAAATCTTTTCCGAATTTGGATAGTTGGTAATGTGACTAACCCAAAGAGAATTTCAAAGATGATTCCTCAGTAGAGATGGAGTTACTATCTAATTGGGTAAAAGATTAAATGACTTAGAAATTTTGATAAACTGAAGAGCAAACCATACGAAGTATTGCAAACGAAAATTCGCATCTCAACTTTATTTACCTTCCTCAACTTCTAGCATGCCTTTTTAAAATGTATTGCATTGAGAATATTCTCTCCACATTTAGTTTAACCACCTTGAACTTGGGGGAGATATGTACTCAAATTTCGACAAATACTCGAAATGAATATTGGAGCTAACTTGAACGCACGTTAAAGAAATTTTGGATATTGTTATTCATTTTAGACTTTTTTGCAGTTCCATCAAGTAAACAAAATTAATATAAATGGGAAAAAGTAAAATGAACTCAATGGGTAATATTAACGCCCAGCTGAAAATTTTCCCCTCAGATAATTGGGAGCGTGAAGAGAATAACTTGATCCTTTGAGCACTCCTCCTGTAATTCGCGTCACCATGATGTGCACATTCGTAAAATTATTCAAAAATCGATACAATAGAGATCAAAATGAGTGCAAAATAATGTACATGAATTTCAAGGCTGTAAAATGTCAGAGTGTACCTTAGGAAGCTCCCTCACTCTCTTTGAATGTAAGAGTTTACACATGGAGGACAATCCAGTCTCTAATCTTAATGAATAAATTGAGAAGGAAATATTAGGCAAACATACGCATATGTGATAAATTCCTCAGAAACTGCTCCGATTCAAGACCTGTTGATTAGTGTGGCAACAAAGCAAAATATTGCCTACCAAGAGGGTGGTCTTCAAGTCCCCTTTCAAGAAATTGGACCTTTCCTACCATATAATCATAGTCAGTTTTGATTGAGTGAATTTGGCCTTATGATAAGTGAATATTTTATATCTAAGTAATCTTATTTTCTCCCACTCAAATTGATTTTAAGTTAAGAGGTTTTTATTTGGACCAATTATTTTTAGATTATCCGCCCTGCTTCAGACGATAGGAGGCAGTAATATCCTTCCAAAGATAATTGTAAAACATCGGTTCGATATATTGAGCAGATTTGATTACTTATCATGTTTCTGCAATAACATCACTTCCTGGAATATGAAGGAAAATAAATCACACGTTGAAGAGTTCACATCTTCTTCTTCATCTTCTTCTTTACTGGGCAATTAGTTTGTTTTCAGTATTTACGATGGACATTTTAATAGTCTCAAAAAAATGTGGTGAGACCAGTACACGCAATCTGCTGCCTTTTTGTGCATTATCGTAAACCACCATCTCTTCTGCTCTATTCAGCCTCTTTTCGAGTCGGATAAACTTGAAGTGCCCGTAGGATGGAGGGAATAGTAGACATTCAACATCTTGATTAGCATTTTTTGATGACACGCAAATAGGTAATTACTCCTCCTCATCCTCTCATCACATATTTGCCCAAAATCAGATAAAAAGGATTCTGTGCGGTCAGGCACCAAATTGCCTTCTTTTCAACAGAAGAAGGTACGATTGTGGAGGGAGGGGGGGGGAGGGGGGATGGGAGGGGGGTGGGGGTGTAAGGAAGTTGACGAAAAAAGTTAACAGATGTATTCTAAGCACAAAATAAACTCCTATTTGTTCATATTTTGTAAAGGTTTAAGGTGTTAATTAATAATGGGACCATTTAAATCAAAATCTGTGAGAGTTATGTCTGTTTAATAGGCATCCGTGTTTAGAATTAGAAAAACTGTAGACCAGCGAATGAAATTAATGAGCGTTTATAATATGAAACTGTTAGTTTCCATTCGCTATACTAAGCAACAATAAGTGTACGTTTTTTAATGGAATATACTAATCTGCAAATAGTCGCAGGCAAGAAAATCACGTTTGATCGTCATAATCTTTGATTTTTTATCTTTTATTACTCTTTTGGTTTTTTTACCCTGAGAATTTTGATTATGTTGGTTTCTAGGATAACAAAGTAAGAGCCCTTTATTCCTTGAGAAGTAAAAAAAGGGGTTTTATAACTTTCACCATCTTCACAAATTCTTGACCCTAACCGTTTGCAATCCTTTCAATCATTTTAACTTGAATATATAAATCAAAATTTGGAATCCATTGTTCTGGATTAACCTAAAACTGAGCCTCATAATCTATTATGCCAATTAGGTGGAAGTTGTCATGGTTTCTGCGCTCATAGGCGCATATTATAAGTTGTTAGTAGTCATGACTTCCTAAAATTATGCTAGGTTAATTATGGTGAGAAGTCATATTTATGTCACCAACAATCATATTGCTTCGATTTGTGCTTAATTAAGACAAATTCCTGACTTCATTGAGAGTGATGGATAATTAGGTTAAAAGTGAATTCATATATGAAACCTTTCGTAATTTATTCTCCTTTATGACGAAGGAAAACTCGGCTTTTGGCCATTAGCAATTAAAAGCAAATATAACATTATTACTGTCCAGATGAAAAATTTCAAACCGATAACATTTTGAATAAAACGAACTTGCGTAAACATGCTGATAATTAATGTGATTTTTTCATAATTGAACCGAATTTATGGTTGATTGTTTTTTTTTTCTTAGAAAGTATAGGTATTAGGCAAATGCAAAAATAAGTAATCATCACTATGGATGGTGACTGTGGTATTGTGACTGTCTGCCATAGCAGAAGTCACTGGTTGGATTCCGGTCGGAAATACACACACCCCTGTTAAATCTAGCCCTTCAGAAGGTATTCGAATTCGAGTCTCTCATCAGAAAGGCTCTATGGCGTCACTCTCACTCTCTCTCTCCCACTTTACCCAACATGAGCGTTGGAAAATGCTTTCCCAAATGGCATTCTAAAAAAATGAAACCACACTTTCAGCAACATACTCATTGCTACAGACCACCGTGTTTAGCATATCTTACCCATACTTAGTGAATGTCTAGCACATTCAAAGGCATTTCAGTTGTTCAGCGAATCCAATTAACTTTTTCAATGTGTTTTCGAAGTTTCACAATTTAGACAAAACAAAATGAGGATAAACGAAGTCTTCGATTGCAAAAAATGTAAAATAGCTTGATTAACTTAAATTAACTGCGTATAAGTATACATTGTGAGAAAAGTCTTGAAAGAATTTAAACTCTCTTTAAAGGCCTATTAGGTTAACGAAATTTTTTATACTTCACTTAATACTTTGAATACAGCTAAATAAAACCAAGTTACACAGTTAAAGAACATATTTTCTTGCTTGATAAATACGGAAATTGTTTAATATAGGTTAATTTCTTAAATAATTTAAGGAAAATTTAAGATTATTGAAAAGCAGACGCTAATAATTCCCCTAGCCAATAGTTACGCCGGTTTTGGCGGAGGTGTGAATTGTCTTCTGCGTCATTGGTTAACACAACTTGCTGTTTGTGTATCACAACCTCGCATACACGCGCGTGTAACCAATGGATAGGCTGCTTTAACTGTTGCTGCTGTGACCCCATCCCCACCCCCTATAGTTGGGATAGCTAAAATTTAATTAGTTTTCCACTTGCGGTTTAAATATTTGGTTAAGCCGTTCGACTTCGCACGTACAAGTACCTCAGGTGTGAGTTAAATTTCGCTCTAATTATAATTTATTCATTCACTTTAAACCACCATAAACAGTGTTTTCAATGATTGACGATTTCATGGGGATAGCATTTTCTCAAGCCGAAAGTTGCTTTTAAAGTTTTTTGGTCTAGAAGAAAAAGCGTAAATAAACCTTTCTCGTTGTTTCATAGTTTTCAGTTAAGAAAACTCATTCGATTATCTCTTTGCAAGGTAAATCAGGACGATTTTCCAAAACAGTAGATGTTTACCAGATTTTGACTTCATTTACTTACAAGCTCTGTCTTAAAGGTTCATTATTAGGACACAAAAAATATTATTTTTGCAGGTCACTATTCGGTTGCTTTTCTCAGTTATTAACTTAATAATAGATTCTATGAACTTAATTTTTCTTATTTACGATTTTTTCAAAAATAATTAGGATGCCTTCCCCTAATATTGGCATTCCGTTAACGCTTTAATGCAGATTTTTGCCATATTTTGCTAACAATTAGAGACATTTCATTATTTACACTTGACTGGGCTAAAGGCCGAAATCAGGAACACCCAATTAACTCATATTTTGGGGCAGGGCAAATCGTGTATCTATAGTAACATCTAAGATTCTGGTTCAAATATTCCAGAAGCAAAAAAGATGGTTTTAGATGGTGCATTAGCCGCCGAGACCATGGGGTTCGATTCCCATCGAAAGTGCTAACTGCAATGATTATATCTGGGTGGAGCCATGATGCCACACCTTCTCAAGATGGCGGTGGTAAAACGTTTTTCTAATTGACCACATAACTTAGTATTATTTGCATCATTTTTGTTTGAAGCAATAACAGTTTCTCACTAACTTATTTTACAAGATAATACCCGACTTCTGGCGACGCCTACTTCCATCTCACAACTCCTTCAATAAGGACATATCAAAAGCCTCCAAGTTTAGTTGCCTTATCGTTCTTTCAAAATAAGAAAACAAACCAGAGACATTTATTTCTTTTCTTCGCATTTACTCTTACCAAATCCATGAAAGTACCTGCCATCTTGGTCTGTTTTTTGTGGTGTATTTCTCGAAACTACATTTTTCCTTCAGATCTCAAAGACAACCTAAGTAAAGAATGGCCCAACCACTCGACGATCCACATATGAGTCCTCGTTACCCACCCTGCGGAATGTTGCCACTCCCCCTGCAGTCCCCCTTTGGGTTAGCTTCAGCACTGGCTCCTCCCTCCCGTCTTCCCCACCTTCCACCACCACCCCCTCCTGCACCGGGGGCTTGCGCTCCCCATCCGATGCTTATGCTGCAATGGATGCGGTCCATTTTGGGGGCAGCAGCAACTCAGGGAGGCCCTGGGGGACTATCACCGACTTCTAATACGCCTCCCGCAAGTAGTGGGGGTAGTGAAGGGGTATTTAACACTACACCTGCCGCATCGGAGGCTTTGCATTTGGCGGGATTGTTAAGCGGCGGAGTGAAGTGTGGCGCTTCGCCACTGGGGGTGGTGTCACCACATCCAAATCATCCTGTGCCACCACCACCACCACCAACGCAACCGACAACTATACAAGCGCCATCACAGATGAATCCCTACTCCCATGGGCAGATGAATTGGCAAAATGATAGTCAGGTAAGTAGTAGTACTCTTATTACCACGCTAGGGCAAATTTCCAAATCAATGTTGGGGAGCAGTAAGGTTCACTTAGGAGTCAAGGGGAAAGAGGATGCCAATATTTTGGGCATAGAGTTAGGTTATCGAAGGGGGTTCTCTGAATTTTTGGATTTGAGTTGTTCAATATTTGCTTAAAGCTTGATTCTTCGCTTCACTTTCCAAAATTGGGATTTATGGAAACATGTTTAATTCATTCGCTCTAAAGGGCATTCAATATCTTCTTTTTCCCCCCAAGTAAATTTAAAAGTTCTAGCACTATTAACTTCAATTTCAAAAGCAGCAGAACTTAGGCATTAAAATTTGATTAGGTTTATCTATTTTTCTCACAATGACGAATGTAATGATTTGAATTCTTATCCTAAAAGAGTCTATTCCACTTTTAGAGACAACTAATTAAAATGAAATAGTTAGTTGAGATATTGCATTGTTTTGGTAAAATGAAACATTTGTGCTGTAAGTCCATTTATTAAACTTTACAATAGATAAGATAAAATTTAAATTGAATTATAAATTAAATCTTTATTATTTCTAAGGTATATTGCGAGAATATTTATAAGTCATAGCATAGTCAAATTGAGTTTTGATGGGACTCGAGTCACGGAAACGATATCAAATCACTCACTAAATAATTAGTCACTGGAAATGTATTTGAATATTTCGAAGGATATAAAACTGAAAGCAAACTCTTAATGATTCTTTTTTCTCTCTCTCTCCCTCAAAGTAGAGCATGCATCCTTAAAGATCATTTCACATATTAACTTAACCTGCAATTCAATTTGTCACAACATTTACGCACCTGGTTTTCTCTATTATTCTGCAATAGGCAATAAAACAACTAATTAGTGGGTGTAAGTATTAATGGGGAAATATTCACAAATTTCCGCTGATTTCTGATAACCGGCAAACTGTAAACAATCCGGAGTAGCACCTGTATAGGTGTTAGCAATCAGATGGTGCTAAGTACCTGCTCGCACGAAAATCGCCAATCAAATCATCACATTGTATTCAATCAGATAAATAGACAATAAAATACCCGGCAAATATTGAGCTATGACCTGTGGTTAATCCTCCATTTTGCGTGATGCTTCAAATTACTCGCCATGTTCTAGTTAGTAATTTTTCAAGCGGGCAGTTGATGGCTAGTAAACCTAACAAGAAATACCTACTGATATTGAATTAAGTAGAGAGGAATAGTCAAGTGATTTCATCTAAGAGGACATTTCCTACTTTCATTAGGATGAATCTGAGCAGCTGAGACGATTTCGACAGGCGCTCTGCACTGGAAATCTCGACCCACAAACAATGAAGATCTATCAGAATTTTAGGTAAGATTGGATTAGCATATGTTACCGAATCTTCCTTGACCAATCCAAAGGTAACAAGCTAAACTCTTTTGCAGATATTCCTTGAAAATGAGGGTTCACGGAACCCCACGTCGCAAAAATACAACACGTGAAACTACGGGTCTTCTGAAAGCTTGGCTTAATGAGCATAGAAAGAACCCCTACCCAAACAAGAGTGAGAAGATAATGCTGGCTGTTATCACGAAGATGAGCTTGACACAAGTTTCTACATGGTTTGCGAATGCTCGACGAAGGCTGAAGAAGGAGAACAAGGCAAGTTGGAGCTTGGCTTCATCTCTGGATCAACATTTTCCCGATTTGGAAGATGAAGGACTTTCTGCCACCACGGGAGATATGTACCCCACGGATCAAGTTCCAACTCCTTCTGGTCAACGTGATATTTCACCTTCGCATTCACAGTCTTTTGAGAAAAATGAAGTGGATTTTGAGCAAAATATAACCGAAGATGCATTAATGTCGGCCGCTAAATCTGTCGAATCTGGAAGGAATAGAAAAATCTGGTCTGTTGTTGAGATGACGGAAGAGCGATAACTTGAAATACTGGATTTCAAATTCAATATGTACATATTCATTAAATTTGTTTGACATTTATTGACCAAACTCTATTCTATAATGAAATAATAACACGATAAACTTCTTTATTATAATAATCAAGCGACTGTGTGTTTGTCGCTGAACGAATATCCTCTTCAATACATTTTGCAAAAAACAACTTAGTTTTAATAAGAAATGATTAGTATGGGAATTAGATTTAATTATGGTCTGTGCGAATGTGACAGTTTAAGAGTTTGATATAACGACTAGTATGCCTCCTATCTTCCCCAAAATTAAAGTAATTTCTACTGCATAATCTCGTTGTGGGATCGGTCAAGTCTCTCAGTAAACTTAATGCTATCTTGAAGGAAAGCACGCCTCAAAACTAGTTTTGGATGCATACCTCAAACTTTTTCAATTTTTCTATCACAAGAAAAGATAAAAGCTCGTAGAGAATATTTAGGGAGTAGAAATGAGAGGTAGAGAATCATGAGAATCCGAATACTTTTGAGCACAAGAATAATCAAATCTACCGTTTTGAGTCATAATTAGAAGTTCGATTAAGCTTCTCCTGTCCTTTTCATCATTTTGTTCTTCACACAGAAAATCTGAATGGCAAGCTTCAATCGTGTTTAAGTAAGCACATTTTCTCCAGCATAATTCTTGTAGCGTTCATTTGCATGACTATAGGAACCATCATTTGGCAGGTCAACTTTGAGTTTGTGGCGGCCTATCCAATAGAACCTTCAAAGCGCTCTCTCATTCACTAAGAGTCGATATCGCGAGGGTTCACAACCATTCTTCTTAGAGTTGGTCAAAGGGAACGCGGATTATTCGCAGAAGTCAACATCAGAGTGTTTCATTTTCTCATCCATTACATAATTTACTAATCTCGGATTAAAATTCAATAGCATTTTGTATAGTATCTTCTCGAAAACCCCCCCCCCCCCCACAAAAATTGTAATTATGTTTGTTACCTTTAAAAGTGCACATAAAATCTGATTCAGTCACAGGTTCATTTATGCCATTACAATAGGCAAATAATAAATTGCTTTTTACTTTTAAGCAGTCTTTTTAGCTTATGCAGGATATAAAAAGGCTTAATTGAGATGATTCCGGCCTACTTTAGACCCATATTCTCTAACAATCTTCGAATTCAATTTCGCCTCGCCACGTGTTACATTAATTCTTCGACAGCCCAAACGGACTACCAATAGGCGTACTTTAATTTACTTGACAGAGGAAAATAATGCTTCCTTTTGACAATTTAGAAAGGTGAGTTTCAACACTCATCTTGGGTAGAGAGCGACACAGTGTGGGCGTCTCTGTAAAGGGGTTCCAACTCTACCGCCCTCCATGCTAATAAGAGTTGATCATTGTAATTGTCCATTTCACTAACTGGTTGTATGCCAAAGTGCATCGAATTTGTGTCCACTAATATTTAAGACATGGGCGCAGATAAGCACTTTTCGAAAATTGCAACTTACCGAGATGAAATCAAATTATGACGATTACAGTTATCGAGATTTATAATTCAATTGAGGAGTTAATTTAACAAATTAAGTTGCATAATAGAAAGACTACTTGGATTAGCTTTTATGTGAATATGGAAGTGTCCACTATTGTTATTAATGGAATTCTTCAATATACTGTGGGACACGCTATCGCTCTGTGCGTCATCGTATGCCT